ATTAGTTAGTAGAAGAATAATATATATATATATATATATATATATATATATAAACCTTCCGAGCTATTCTAAGCTCTGGATTTTCCAATTTGTCCTGTCTTCTGTCTTTGAAACTGTAAACTCTTCAGAGCAGGGACTGTCTTAATATTCTCAATGATATGTCACGCACAAAAACAGTTGACATGAAATACATAAAAATAATTATAATAATCTTTCTTCCTGTGTATTCACTCCTGTGTTAATAGTTCTGTTCACATATAGGGAACGTTGGTAATGACAGAAAATTATCACCAGCTAATGGGTTCTCAGTAGCCTATGTGTTTATTATGACTATTATTATTTGTATTATGGTAGAGCCTAGAGACCCCAACTGAAATCAGGGGATCTCATTGTACTAGATACTGTACAAACATATAGTGAGACACAGCCGCTGCCCGAAATTACTTACAAGGCAAGGAAAAGATACAAGAAAGTAGGGAAAAAGGCAATATTATTATTGTTGCCCCCTTACAGATGGTCAAACAAATAGAGGCAGAAACGGAACTCAGATATTCTAAATCCTAGTCTAGTGTCTTAACCAGTAAGACCAGCCTTTCTCTCTTTGGTGGTCTTAGTCCGCATCAGAAAACCCACAATAGTCTTAGGTGCTGACTGGCACATCAGGCAGTCTGAGCAGAAAGGCAATGACTTAATGGGCCTAGAAACTGATGTATTCTTTCATCCTTTGAAATGGTCCCTCCAGGTCAAGGTCACTGCGAGGAAACATGCTATTGCTGCCCTCAAACTAGGAAAAAAATGCAGGCAAGCACAATTCCTGAAGCAGGTGTGATCTATGTTAGTGACCCCGATGTGTGGCTTTCACTCTGGAATGACTCATGAAGTAATAGGCTCTAGTATCCTGCTCTGCGTCTCCACAGAAAAAAAGACTAGAGGGAAAATACTACAAAGATTTATGTTTGGCAAGTAAGGTACCTATAATCAGCTCACAGGGGGGAAGATAGTAACATGGAGTCTGTTGGCCACTCAATGATAAAAAAAACAAAAATTCTTTAATGTGCCAAAGACTAGTAAAAGTCATACTAATTATATCATTTACTGTGAGTTGTCAGCAGTATTTTTGCATGGAGAGCAGGGGCCTCCCCCTAGCTTTGACTATCTGAAGGTGGCATTGGTAGATGGTCAGAAGCCTGAAGACATTAGTTGGAGCTGCTATCCTCTGGAGGCACAGGCAGCCTTAGAATTCTGACTGCAGCCCTCGAATAAGGAGCAGAGGCCTGTGGAGATTGCTGCTTTCAAGTATGTGAGACTCCATTTTGTTCTCAGCAATATTTCTTCTCTGTGCACTTCCCTTCCTTATGGTGACTGTGGTTTGTGTTAGAGAACTCCATGACTACACGTGGACCATAAGCTTCATGTTGGCTACCCTGCTTTACATACAAGATACAGCGTTATTGGAAAACTTATCAATATTCACATTCCTGGGTCCACAGAGTATGATGGCGTCAGCTTTGCCTTTAGTTTCAAGATGTCAGTTCATCTCATTGTAGTCATTGGCATTGTTTTCTTTTATGTTTGTGGTTTTCTTCTTTTTCACAGAAGCTTTTGTTTTCTTAGCTGGGACTTTGTTAAATTGCTTATCGAGATTCTTATTTATTTAATTAGTACAGATATTTGAATTGTATTTTAAGTAACGAAATATAGTAGCAGGGGTACAGAGCAAACCACTCAACCACAAATACACAGTTAATGAAAACAAGACAGTTTACATTTATGAAGGCTGCTATTTAAATATGAAGAGTCTATATTTTATGCCCTGAGCTACTTGAGCATGAATAGAATACAGAGGGGTTCAGACTAAAGAAATTAAGAGATGCAGCAAATTAGCAGGAATGAAGATGAAGGCATTTCCTCCTATCGGTCCCAATCTATCATTACTCAGCAAAACACTTAAGCGTGCTTAATGAGACTTAATATGTGCATCACGTTAAGCATATGCTTACGTGGTTTGCTGAAGAGGGATGGATTTAAACATGTGCTTACGTGCTTTGCTGAATTGGGATGTAATACAGTTATGCAGTCAAGATGATATAAGTTTGATGGTGCTGATGTACTACTGGATGTGTCTGCCGTGTCTACTCGTGGGAATAATCTTATTGGCTTTAGATGAATAAGGGCTGCAGAATCAGGCCTTTTGTTTAGGCTATATCTAACTACAAATTACTTCAGTATAACTTATGTTGCTTAAGCATGTGAATAATTCATGCCCCTGAGCGATGTAAGTTATACTGACCTAAGCCCTGGTGTAGACAGTGCTATGTCAGTGGAAGAGATTCTCCCGCTGATAAAGCTAATGCGTTTTGTGGAGGTAGGAGTTATTAAGCCGACAGGGGAGCTTTCTCCCATTGACTTAGAGTGTCTTCACCAGAAGTGCTAGAGCAGCGCAGATGCACCTAGCCTTAAGAGTCAGTTATGTATTCTCTGCCCTTACTGTAGGTATCCATGTGACTGGTTAATAGGCTGTGCCATATTCTTCATGCAACACAGGAAGGCTACCAAAGTCAAAATCCTCAGCTTTTTTCCTTAGTGTACATGTGGCTTTTTTCCAAAGGCAAAACAAAATGAAGTTCCTCCAGTCATTTATTACTGATAGCAATTCAGACTGAGATATCTACAGGAAGTGATGAATCAATATGTTTTATTCTTTCTTCTTCTTTCCTTTTATATTAATAGGGGAGGCTGGAGAAAAAGGGGAGAAAGGTGCTCCAGGGCGGCCGGGGAGAGTTGGACCTTCAGGAGAAAAAGGTAACTTGGTTAAAGAAGACGGGTTAAGAGAGTTATTCTTGATCAAAAGTTTTCCTGGTTGATGATGAGAATCCTTTCTGTCTTTGCTAAGACTAAGGCTTCCCTGGCCATTTCCTTGTGCCCTACACACTCCATTTGGAGACTGTGGCTACCACTCTTCTGATCAAAGAGACTAATTTTGGAACCCATGAATGCTGTTTCTTGATTTGCCAGAGGAATCCCTGTTGAGAAAGACATTACGTTATGTGGCCTCCATGTTATTCTTAGCTTTTGCTGCCTGGGCGATACTGCTGCATATCAGTGTGAGACATTAGCACTAGATCACTAGAAAAACAAGTTCAAAATCTGATTTTCAGACCCTGTTCTCTACTTCTGTTTGCACACAAACGTGCATGCCCTTTTGCCGCATTAATACCTGCAAATACAGGTGTTAGAATTTGCACAGGCAAAAAACGTTTTGACATTTGTTGTGTGACCTTGGGTGACTTGCACACTTCTTGTGTCACAGTGTAGCCCTCCATAAAATGAGTACACTAATACTTGTGGTGAATACATTTAATTAAAACTTACGAAGGACTTTGTGATCTTCAGATGAATGGCATTTTATAAATACATAATTATCAGAGCTGAGTGAAATTCAGAATTTCCAATCTATGGGAAATTCTGACATTTCAGCATTTGATTTTCTCCTGAAATGGCATTTTTGATTGAAATTAAACATTTTGACATTCCTGAAATAAAAATGTTTCATTTCAGTTTATTGAACTGACCTGAAATTCTTCTTTTTAAATAATATCATTATTAAGCTGCATTTCCATATGGTGATGTATCATGGCAGTCACATGACTCATTATGGCTATTGTAGTCAGGAAGCCTGATGCACCCATTCTCTACTCTGGGTCTGGCTCCCTGACTGGACGACATCTCCCATAATGCACCAAAAGTCATGTGACTGCCATGATGCACCATGAAGCTCAGCCTGCATGAAATCAGCTCATTGCCTTATGGGAGATACTGTTAGACCCTGCAGGGCTGGAACTTGGAAGGTTCAGGGCCGCTGATCAGGGCCCTGCAACCCATTAGGCAAACTAGGCGGTCGCCTAGGCTGCTACAATTTGGGGGGCGGCGACCGCGGCGGTATTTCAGTGGCGGGACCTTCCGCTGCCTCTGTGGGGGGCGGCATTTTGGGGCGGGACCTTCCGCCGCCTAGGGCGGCAGAAAAGCTGGTGGCTCTCCTGCCGCTGATGCCTCTGCATTGCCATGGGAGGCTTAGGCTTAGGCTAGGCTCCAATGGGAGGACCCTGTGAGGCTGGGTTTGGCAGGAAGTAATGCTTAACAGGACTGGAGTGGTGGCCCCTTACAGCCCCCTGATTGGCTGATGCCAGTATATAAATCAGGAAGCCATGAAGGGGAACTGTCTGAGCAACAACGCAGACTACCTTGCCCATTTCTGCTCCAGACCCTGATTGTGATAGGCCCTAGACTATGGCTTCTGACCCCGGTTTGTCCTCGACTTTACTATTCAATTGCTGTCTGTAATCTGGTGCCCGACCCCAATTTCCTGGTAACCTGACCCTGCCTGCCACCTGTTGCCTGAGCTCTCAGTTCACCCTCTGGCCTGTCTTGGACTCTGACCTCCCAGTACCTGATTCAGCCAGACTAATGACTCCTGGCTCCAACCACTCAATCTGACTGCCTTCGTCCTGATTGTGACAGATATAATCCTTCAGGGATCCTGGCCCATAGGAGAGAATGGGGCCTGGAATTATAACTCCCATAAAACAATTTGTCATGATAGGAATATGCAGTTAAATGTTGTATTGAAGTGATATGAAATGAAAAATAGAAAGGCAGGACTGGAAGGGACATCCTGGGTCATTGAGTCCAGTCCCTTGCTGTCTCAAGCAACCATGTTATATAATCGGTTCATAAATTTATCAAGCTCCAGCTTAAAACTAGTTAGGTTGCTTGCCCTCACCACCCCATTCAAAGGCTGTTCCAGAACCTCACTCCTTTGATGGTTAGGAAACCATCTCCTAATTTCCAGCCTAGATTTCTTCTAATTTCCAGCATCAACATTTTGGATCAGTTCCGAAATCAATGTATTCAGATTTGGGTCATTTAGATTTTCCTGACTAAAAATACTAATAAAAAAACCTGTCTCAATTTTTTGGAGAAACTACATTTTCTGTTGGAAAAGTTGTTACAATAGAAAATTTCTGCCTCACTTTAATAATTATAATGCTTTCTCATTTCTGTGTGCCTCTGCAATTCTGATTTCCTGCCAGGCCTGGAGGAGGAAGTGCTGAAATAAAAATACCTTGCAGAAAAAACACCAAAACCATCAAGAGACAAAGGAAAATAAGAGTTTCATGGCCTATGTATTGGTATACAGATGATGCTTCCAGAATGACTGAATAGAGGCAAAACCTTTTATACCAGTCAAAAAAATTAAAGAGCAAGACATTTTTTTCAGCTTTCCTTTATCCAGCCAGGTTCAGAATAGATTGTATTGGACATATTCTCAGAACACCTGAAGATGCAAATAATTTGTTTTAGCAAAGTGTGAAGAGTTTATAAAACAAACTCCTGTATGAAATGGACTCTAATTAGCTAGTCTTTTCATTAGTATTTTATAGTTTTAAAAAATTTGTCTACATTAATTGCTCTCTACAAATGCTTTTTTTCCACACGAATACCGGTTGTTATTTAAAAAATAATGTGGAATACATTATACTAAAATTATTCAAGGCGATTAAAAACTCTATTTTTTGCACCTTTCTTCCTCATTAGGGACCCTCCCCACCCCCAATATGGTATATTCAGTTCACCAGGCTTTAAGAAGTGCCTCACTAGCAAGGAAGCAATCCCGATTGCAGACAAGCACTCCCATTGCATCTGCTGCCTTGGGGAAGGCCACATCCAGCAAAAGTGTGGTCTCTGCCATCACATCCAGCCACGATCTCGTAAGGACAGATAGCTCTGACAGAACATTATCTTCATAATGAGGCGGCTCTTAGGCCCTCACAGGATCCACACCATGAGTCACCTGGCAGACGTCAGTCTTCCCCAGAGCCCTCTACAGCTAAAGGCTGTGGGTCGAGGAAACAGATTGCTGACACCTCTCGCATGTCATCTAAGAAGAGAGCGGGAAGTCCTCATAGTGAGCCCTGAGATAGCTGTAAGCGGTCCCCATCTTGCTCAGTATCTTTGACACCATCGGTACTGAGACCATCTCAGTCCAGTACCCATGGCTCATGGAAACCAACAGTAGCCGGTACTGCTGACATGCTCATGGATCCTATGGGCCTGGGCACCGGGACCTGGGCACCAAAGGACAGGAGTAAGCACTCTGCTAAAAAAGAGCTCCCTGTATGTGAGTCTACATCGGTAACATTATCATCGCCTCATCCAGAGAGAGCGGTACAGACAAGATCCCCGTCTCTCCCAGCACTGCCACCAACGCCGGGATGGTCAGTGCTGGCGAACCAGAGGAGGTGGTGTCACAATACTCCTCTCAGGCTCCATATGGTGCTCAATACCAGCAAGGCCCATGTCTGCAGATGGCCCCATCACCACCACCCTGGTATGGCCACGTATGAGCACCACCACCGGGCTGTATGCCACCATCATCCCAGTGGTCTTATTGGGACCCATGGGCAGCATATCACCAACATGCCTCTCAAGAACATGCCATATCACCAACATGCCTCTTGCCCAAGAACCTTCCAGGCACACCACCTCGGCCGCAGCATCCAGCGCTTTGGAGCCTCCACAAAATATCATAGAGGAACGGGAAGGTGGGGGCAAAGAAGCAATGACACCGAAGAGCATATCCTCCTTTTCCCTGGATGAAGCTGTCATGCCTTCCCCACCATCTCTGGCGGACAACTTTTGTCTCTTCCAAAGATTGGCAAAGAGAGTTGCAGACACTCTCCAAATACTTCTGAAAGAAATCAAGGATATTCATCATCGGCTCCTTGACATCTTCCATGCTTCCTCCTCATCAAAAATTGCCCTCCCTATTAATGAGGCCATCTTAGACCCAGCAAGACCTACCTGGCAAACCCCAGCATGAGTAGCACCAACATCCAAGCGGGTAGACAAAAAATACGATGTCCCCGCCAATGAAACTAAATTCCTCTTCTCCCACCCACCACCCAACTCCATTGTGGTGGACGCCATCAATTCCTGCGGCTGGCAACACCAGTCAAGGGCCACTCCCTAAGATAGAGACTGGAAGTGCCTAGACCTTTTTGGTAGGAAAGCATACTTCTCAGCCATGCTTCAAATCCATATCACCAATTACCAGGCCCTCACAGCGAAATATGATTATATAAACTATTCAAAACTGAATGACTTTATTGAGCAGATACCGGAGTTACATTGTGACCAATTTAAGGCTTTTATCCAGGAGGGCCAGTTAGTGTCAAAAACATTTCTGCAATCTGCCCTTTACGTGGCTGACACAGCAGCTAGTGGTGATACGTGGGCGTCATGGTTCCATCTGTTGGCCTTCCCGAAGGAAGTACAGTCTCCTGTTGAGGACCTCCCTCCCTTTTGAGGGCACAAAGCTCTTTGCAGAGAAGACTGATGCTCCCTTCACACCCTGAAGGACTCTATGGCCACTCTCCAGTCACTGGGTATCTACACACCAGGATAAAAAAGACTATTTAGTCCCCAATCGCTGCATAGACACACATACATCTCAATATTAACCTCAATGCCACCATGAGCCACAAAAAAAGAAAGGAAAATTTTCCAAGTGCAAACCAGCTGGATCACAATCTTCTTCATTCCAGCCTTCTATGTCCAAACACCAGTTCTGATGGGTGGGTCGACGTGCTGTTAGACCACTTCCCCCAATTGATACAGCCGATCAATGCTTTACACCCATTGGCAACATTCTGCAGTGCCTAGGAATTCAGAACATCAGGCCAGTGGTTCCCAGAGATCATTCAAACTGGGTACGCCATCCATTTTACTTTCATACCCCCTCC